GAAAAACACCGCGAGAAAAAAAATAAAAACCACGAGATAAGAACTCAGAACCGCGAGATACGAACTCCGAACACCGCGGGATACGAACTCAGAACACTGCGGGATACGAACTCAGAACACCGCGAGATACGAACTCCGAACACCGCGGGATACGAACTCGGAACACCGCGAGATACGAACTCCGAACACCGCGGGATACGAACTCGGAACACCGCGAGATACGAACTCCGAACACCGCGGGATACGAACTCGGAACACCGCGAGATACGAACTCCGAACACCGCGGGATACGAACTCGGAACACCGCGAGATACGAACTCCGAACACCGCGGGATACGAACTCGGAACACCGCGAGATACGAACTCCGAACACCGCGGGATACGAACTCGGAACACCGCGAGATACGAACTCCGAACACCGCGGGATACGAACTCGGAACACCGCGAGATACGAACTCCGAACACCGCGGGATACGAACTCGGAACACCGCGAGATACGAACTCCGAACACCGCGGGATACGAACTCGGAACACCGCGAGATACGAACTCCGAACACCGCGGGATACGAACTCGGAACACCGCGAGATACGAACTCCGAACACCGCGGGATACGAACTCGGAACACCGCGAGATACGAACTCCGAACACCGCGGGATACGAACTCGGAACACCGCGAGATACGAACTCCGAACACCGCGGGATACGAACTCGGAACACCGCGAGATACGAACTCCGAACACCGCGGGATACGAACTCGGAACACCGCGAGATACGAACTCCGAACACCGCGGGATACGAACTCGGAACACCGCGAGATACGAACTCCGAACACCGCGGGATACGAACTCGGAACACCGCGAGATACGAACTCCGAACACCGCGGGATACGAACTCGGAACACCGCGAGATACGAACTCCGAACACCGCGGGATACGAACTCGGAACACCGCGAGATACGAACTCCGAACACCGCGGGATACGAACTCAGAACACCGCGCGATACGAACTCAGAACACTGCGGGACACGAGCTCAGAACACTGCGGGATACGAACTCTGAACCGCGAGATTCGAACTCTGAACCGCGAGATCTGAACTCAGAGGAAGCAGCAGCATGCTGAAGTGACTCACGTCCATGAACTTGCGGTTCTTCTCCAGCTGTTTCTCTAAGGCCTGTATCTGCTGCCGCAGGTCTGCCGTCTCTGCGCTGTGCGTCTCCTGCAGCTCCTGCAGACGGCTCACCTGCTCCTCCAGCTCCGCCTCCAGCTGCTTCACCTGCTGCAGCAGCTCGCCGCTCTCCTTCTGCGCCTGACGCTGCACCTCCACCTTCTCCGCCATCAGCTTCTCCGTCTCCTCCAGCAGGTCTGAGGACAGCCAGATGCTCGTTAGCAAAGCCCACGCCAGGATTGATGCTCGGCGGATGACAAAACATGGAGCAGCTTCAGAGACTCATTCACAATGTCAAAGACTGTCAAAAACTAATTAAATCTCAACTTTAAAGAAAGATTATGTTCTCAGCGCATTATAAACGGCTGCTGTAGTCTTGATGGACTTTAATAAACTGCAAATTGCAAACTTAATTTATAGGAAATAAACTGCTCGGTAAAAGGAATCTCGTGAATTTTCTTAACCACAAAAGCAAAAGAAACAGAGGAAATCACATTTTGGTAAATTTTTTTGAGGAAAATGCGCTTAATTTTCCTGACATTTTCAAAAATACAAATACATTTTGTTGTTATTGTTAACTAAAACTACAGCTAAAACTTTTAAAAGTTGTTTTCGCTCATTTAAATAAAGATTAAATTAAATATAAATATTAGATGAAAAACTTTATCGTTAATTATAAACGTTGCTTTGACAAGCAACTGAATTAAGTTAAAGTACTGAAATTACTATAACTACAAATAAATTAAATATAAAAATAAAAAATGTAAAATGGCAAGCTCCTAATGAAATTTAAACTAAAATTTTAATAAAAAATGTACATATAAAAACAAGCTGAAACAATAAAATATAAAATAAAAATGAAATATAAACATTAGATAAAACTTAATGTTCCCTTGGCAACTTCTCAAATAAAACAAGTTTAGCTTGAAATACTAAACTTACCAAAACTGAAATAAAAATAAAAATAAACTAAAGCTAAAAACTAATAAAAATACTCAAATTTAAACTTAAATTGAAAATATAAGAACGAAAGCTAATTCAAAATATTTTAAAATACTGTAATAGTATATAAACAGTATAGTATATATTTAATTTTCTTTATGCAAAATGTAATTTCTTTTGTTCTTTTGATTTTGTGATGATCCTGACATGTTTTTGTAAATGTTCTCTGCTGTTCTCCACTTTTGTCTCCGGCTGCATACGGCACATCGGCGAGACAGATTCCCCATTTCCCACAATCCTTCCCATTCCCGTACGATCCATGATCACATGATCCCGTCAGCAACCACCGAACCTACCCACAGTGCAGGAGAGGACGAGGGGCGGAGCCTGTGATGTCACGGGAGGGGGAGGGGTTAAGTGCAGATGCAAAACAGAAAAGGAAAAATAAACCTGTGTCTTATTGAACAGCCATCAGCTGAGGATAAACCACAGTCTAGTTCAGACAGAGTTTTTCTTACATTTAATGACGTAAATTGAGTTAAATAAGGCATTGGCACATTTAAAATCCTCACTGAAAATGATCAAATATTTACCATTACAATTTTTAGCATTAACATACAATGTGTTATCTTTTTATGTCAATATGTTTCTGTATAGCAAACTCTGAGCTTAAGAAAGTACTTTTTACAAATATATTACTTTTATTATTATTACTACTACTATTATTATTGTCACTGTTATTTTATTATCAATATACTACTTTTCAGATTTTATTTTAATATTTTGTTTCCAATTTAATTTTAGTTAAAGTTGTGTGTAAAGTATTTTTTTTTATAAGTCTATATAGATTTACTAATTGTATGTATTTATTGTTTTATTTTATTTTATTTTATCAAGCCAAACAAAATGAGAATTGTTGCCTTGGCAACTAGAAATAAAAAGTTTATTTGTATATATTTTATTTCAGTTAATATTTATTTTATTTTATTAAACTAAAAAAAGAACAGAAATGTTAACTTTGGCAACTAGGTGAAATAAAATGAAGTTACATTTTTTATATTTTATTTCAGTTCATTTAATTACATTTTTTTTATAAAATCTACTTCGAAATTTTAACAAAAACTATAATAGTACATCATTGGTAACAAAAAAAAACTGAAAATAACAATAAGTAACTTTTAATTGCGTTAGTTGTAGTTTACTGTATTAACCCTATTTATTGTTTATTATTATATATTACACATTAAAAGTATTATGTATTAACTTTTTTGAAAATTCCAGGTGAGATACCACAGTCCTGAAGCCCAGTCCAGCACATAAGCTGTTGTAGGCTGATGCTGAGACGGCTGTTCAATAGCAGCTAGCCGCGGTTAACCCATGCTAGCGTGTGTTTCCAGCAGATATCATGTGATGTGATGTTAATGAGCTCAAGCAGTGGTTAGTCCATCAGTGGAGCCAAAAGCAAGCAAAGCTCTGTTATTGATCAGCGCGTGCCTGTCAATCAATCGATCGATCAATCAGAGACCGTGATACACAGCGTGCCGGCCATGCCGCTCGTGAACACACACACTCACACACACACACCTGCTTCAGGTGCTGCGTCAAGAGCAGCCTCAACTAGTCCTGAGGAAAGAGAGTGAAAACAACACATTCAACATGCAAATACAGGAGGAAAGAGGACAGAAACATGAAGACGGACACGATCCGCAGCTGCACGTGTGTGTGTGTAGCTGTGAGTGAGTGAGTGAGTGAGTGTGTGTGAGAATGTGTTTGTGGTTTAAAGCCTCTTCAGATTCTCCTGCAGGAATTTGGCACGTCATGCACTGCATCTGAAAACAGCTGAAATCACATCTGAAGGCCTTGAGACACGGAGAGTAAACAAAAGCAAAGCGTGTTTTTACATTTGGGGGGGGCTGGTTGTGGACTCCGAGACTTATTGTTGTTATTGTTAACTGAAGCTCAAATTGAAAGTTGTTTTACTAATTTAGATTTTTTTTAAAAAAATTTATTTACATTTAAAAAATTATAAAATGAAAAAACATGATAACAAAAATAACTTAAACTAAACTTAAACTAAAATTAAAAATGGTTCCTTGGTTACTAACTGAAATGATCTAAAACTGTAGTATCTGTAGTATAAAAAAATACTACAAATGACACTAAATCGAAACTAAAATTCTAAAAACAGCTAAATTAAATACTATCATAGTATATAATTCCTTATATTATTTAGTATACAATTCTTAAATACTATAATAGTATATAAACAATACTAATATAACAATAAATAGAAGTATTAAAAATATATATTAAATTACACTAAATTGAAAATAATATTAAAACAAATTCTAAAAACAGCTTAATATAAAATCACTGATTAATATAGTATTTAATATAACATTTTTAGATACTATAATAGTATATAAACAATGCTAATATAACAATAGAAGTATTAAAATATATATATTAAATATTACACTAAATTGAAAATAAAATGTAAAATTAAAATCCAAAAAAATAAAAGCAAATTAAATACTATGATACTACATAATTATTTTTATAGCATTTAATTATACTATTCTTAAACACTACAATAGTATTTAAATCATACTAAAATAACACTACTTAAGTGTCATAAAAATAATGAAAATAATAAAAATCAACCAAATTTAATCATCTTTATGCAACATATAATTTGTAATTTTGTGCTGATTTTGCCATGACAGGCCTTGAGAATGAATACTGATTCAACCTATAAAGAAATAAATCAATCATGAGTTAATCATACTGCAGAAGCTCTGATTTTACCCATGAACACCTTCAGCTAATCAGTTATTATCGAGACATTTGCTGCGTACCAATTCGCCAACTTATACTATGCCCTAAAAGTAAGTACTCTATTTGTGAAGAAAAAAGTACATACTTTTGAGTATGTTGCAGAATAGTAGGCAAGCTTTGGCACAGACTGCTTCATCATAACTGCGTCTTTAACGAACGCTCTGTTGCTTAGTTACGTGCATTCTGTCATCATTTAAACTGCATTGTAATTATCACAGTAAGGGTTGCACCAACTAATCGACTTTAATGCTCTGCCATGACGCTTTAAGCTTGACTAGACTTTTTATGCGTTTGTAGACTAGTCGCTGGTCCTATAGAGGGCGTTACAGGATAAGAAATCTTTGAAGGACTTCCACATTTACGCTCAGTTTCCAAACAGTTAAAACGACAAATAAATGCATAGTTTTTAAACCCTTTTTATGCGTTTGTAGACTAGTCGCTGGTCCTATAGAGGGCGTTACAGGATAAGAAATCTTTGAAGGACTTCCACATTTACGCTCAGTTTCCAAACAGTTAAAATTACAAATAAATGCATAGTTTTTAAACACTTTTTATGCGTGTTTGTAGACTAGCCGCTGTCTCACGTTTTAAAATCACAAAGGGAGTTTGGTGCCATCAGGCTAACGTGACAGTCACGACTCATGCAGCTGTAAGCTTTTCTTTTTCTTTTGTTTTTACTCACGATCTTTACAACACGCATTACATTACGTATTTCATGGCACACTCGTTTTAATGCGTATTTGGCGCCACCTATTGTTGTGGGTGTATTATGGACATGTCAAAGTCTAGACCCTGGATATAAGACGACCGCGTTTTTTCAGATGTATTTCCAACAAAAAAACATACGTCTTCTATTCGGGTCAATACGGTATTTAGGACGGATAGTATGCGAATTGGGACGCAGCAATTGTTTCTCTGAGATGTAAACCAATGGAATGGCAGTGAGTGTGAGTCATGTGACATACGCAGCTCTCGAGGCCCCGCCCCTTCTCTCATGGCGTCCTGCTGGCGCAACAGCAGCTCGTGCTCATGGTGAATCTGCTGGCGCTCCTGTTCGAGTTCACGCAGACGGCTAGCGGTCACACACAGCTCCTGCTCCAGATGCAGCTGCAGCTCGGCACGCTCGCTGATCTGCTGCTCCAGCGCCAGACGCTCGCCAGTGTAGCCGTCAATCAAACCTGCGGCACAAACACACGCTGACTACTGCTGTGGCACTTACACTGTGATTCCTGTGGCATACATGAAGCTCAACCGTTTTGGCTGAACAAAAATTTAAAAAACATGATATAATATTATTAATATTATTAAATAATAAGGATTTAAAACAACAAATTTATAATATTATTATAAATTCATTACGAATAAATACATTTATTATTATTATTATTATTATTATTATTTAATAATACAGATTTAACACAACAAATAAGTCATATTATAAATTAATTGTAAATAAGTCAAACTATTTTATTAATAATAATAATAATTATTATTATTATTAAACAATACAGATTCAAAACAACAAATGATTATAATAAATAAATTATATAATTAGATCAATAATAATAATAATGAGTAAATGTTAGTGATTTTTGGTGAGTAAAAGTATTTATTTGTAAGCTTAAGTTAATGTTTGTTTTCGTGTGATGTAATTTTGCATGGCTGATATAAAATATAACAATTCATTCATTTGCATGGGTGATGTAAAGGACAGAAACACACACACACACACTCACACTCTCTCACACACACACACACACACACACACACACACACACACACACAGAGCATGTCAGGCTGTATTCGGTTAACAGGATCTGAACAAAGCATTTCTGCCCTGAATCTGTTCCAGGTCACTGATCCTCCTCTCATTCTCTCCCAGTAAACTTCATCACCTTTTCCCACATTTATCTGCAATTTGACCGAAGTGTGTCAAACTGAATATTTATGAGGAAAACAAAACTGTAGTGTGAGACCTGAACAAAAACTCATTTCCTGACAGTTTTACTGTCACTTGTGAAGCTGACGGTGTTGAATAGGGCCACACACACACACACAGGGTTAGTCATTCACATGCACAAATAAGATACTTGAGCTCATGAACATGACAGGTCTGACTGTGTTTAAGCTCATTTGCAAATGAAATGAGGTTGCAGTGACTAACAAAAGAGCTTCATACGCACACATGACAGAAAACACAGCGTTACACACACACACACACGCACACACACACACACACACACACACACACAGTCAACATGACAACTACAGAACTGTAGAATTTTTTTTTTAATGTGTCTTGTTTCTCTTCTCTTTCCACTGTCCTGGACCTCACGATTGTTTAATGGAAAAGCACATTCGTAACACAACTGTTGCAAATGTAATTGTAAATGTAAATGTATTTAAAGCTATCAGTTGTAAAGCCGAATGAATGCATGTAAATGCAGGAGCGAGACGTTCACGTACAAAACCCGTCTGCTGTATTTGGCCTGAACACAGAGAATGAGCAGCCGAGTACAGACACGCAGGTGAAATAAAGACACGATCAAACCACAGACTCGCATAAGAGCAACAGCCACGGCCAGTACGGTTTCTCAGTGAAACACAAACACCACAGCGACTCGCTCATTCATATCAGATTACAGCTTTCAGTCAGACAAACATCTAGGTCACGGCAATTTAAAAGATCAAAGGCTGTTAAAAACATACTGCGCCTCAATAACCCAACAGTTTTATAGTGAAAATGCATCATTTAATACAGTAACAGAAGATTGACTGTCACAGACGAGGTGATGCTGTGGAATTACAGTCAGCTGATGTTCTTTATGATGGATCAGTGACAGCAGAGCAAACACTCCCTACACAAACATCATCAGTACAGCGTGTGTGTGTGTGAGAGAGAGAGTGCGCGCGTGTGTGAGTATGTGAGTGTGCGTGAGAGTGTGAGAGCGTGTGAGAGAGTATGTGAGTGTGCGTGTGTGTGTGAGAGTGTGAGTGTGTGTGTGTGCGTGCATGTGAGAGTGCTTGTGTGTGTGAGTGAGCGTGCGTGTGAGTGCGTGAGTATGAGTGTGTGAGTGAGTTAGTGCGTGCGTGTGCGTCTGAGTGAGTGAGCGTGTGTGTGAGAGAATGAGTGTGAGAGTGTGTGTGCACGCGTGTGAGTTTGTGTGTGTGTGTGAGTGAGTGTGAGAGTTTGAGAGTGAGTGTGTGTGTGTGTGTGTGTGAGTGTGTGTGTGTGAGAGAGTGTGAGTGAGTGTGAGTGTGTGAGAGTGTGTGAGTGTGTGAGTGGGTGTGAGAGAGAGTGTGTGTGTGTGTGTGAGAGAGTGTGTGAGTGCGTGTGTGTGTGAGAGTGTGAGTGTGCGAGCGTGTGTGTGAGAGTATGCGAGTGTGCGTGTGTGTGAGAGAGTGAGTGAGTGAGTGTGTGTGTGTGTGAGTGAGAGAGTGTGTGAGAGAGTGTGCGAGAGAGTGTGAGAGAGTGTGAGTGAGTGTGAGTGTGTGAGAGTGTGTGAGTGTGTGTGAGAGAGAGTGTGTGTGTGTGTGTGAGAGAGTGTGTGAGTGCGTGTGTGTGTGAGAGTGTGAGTGTGCGAGCGTGTGTGTGAGAGTATGCGAGTGTGCGTGTGTGTGAGAGAGTGAGTGAGTGAGTGTGTGTGTGTGTGTGCGTGTGTTTGTGAGAGAGAGAGTGTGTGTGTG